TCATCCAGGCTTACTAATGCAAGTTCCAGGTTTTACCCTGCAGTGACTCAACTCAGGTGTGACCACTCAGTGATCTACCAAGTCACCTTTCCTCTTTTGTTCAAGGTTTTAATTTTAATTAAATTTCTCTGCTGTCACAGCTTACTGGTCTACCCTCCCCTCCCTCTGGCCATCTCATTGGCCGAGATGAAGTCAAGGCAGTTTCCCGAGTCTCTTCCTTTCAGCAGCTCGCTCCAGATACTGAAGTCAGCTGATTTAAATTTAGTGTTTCGTGTTAGTGTTCTCAAGTGATTATTTACTCTTTGTTTCTCGTAGTGTCAACCTGTTTCAATCCTCAATTTCCCATCAGATCTTTCAGGCGCAGATCTGTGACAGTTGCGCGATTTAATTTCATTCAGTTTGAGTCAAAGATACTTCGACAAAAGGAAAATGATTAGAGCTAGGTTACAATGCAGTACAAAAATAATCATTTATTTCTACTAGAACCCACTATTTTTAGCAGTACACACAAAAGTAGCACTTTGAGCAAATTCAGTTTCAGTTAGTCAGAACACAAGTCACAGCAAGCACACCTTTTTTTCTTCTTTAGGCCGTGTCTGCTTGAAGCAGCGCGCTCTCCTCCTCGGCAGAAATCTCGATATCCATGGCCTCGTCTGTAGGTGTAGGTTCCACAGCTCCGGCCGCGACTGCTCCAGCGGGCTCGACTGCAGCAGCGACCGCAGCGACGGCTGCTCCATCGGCTCCCGGGGCTTGAGTTCCCGCGGGCGGGGCAGGGCGAGGAACGGGAGCAGTCCCCTGCTCGCGCCGAGTTTCGCACTCAGCTGCTCGATGGCCTTTCTTGTTGCAGCGCCCACAGCAGAGGTCGGCATTCGCTCCCGAACGCCGCTCGGGTTGTCCCGCTCAGCGCGCTCTCCCGTCCCATCTCGCACTGTTGTCTCGTCCCACCCGGCGGGACCCGCTCCGGTCAACGAGTCTCGTTTGCGAGAGGTGTGGAGGAGAGAGCAGACTGCGCCGGCCGGGCCGTGCCGTGCCGTGCCGGGCCGGGCCCAGGCGGCCAGGCCACCGGCCAGTCGCTCGCTGTCGCTGTCTCATGCTCATGCGGTGTGTGCGTTGCGTGTGTGGTGTGTGTGTCGGAACGGAAAAGGGGGGGGGGGGGGGGGGGGTAGCGGATAGCGGCCGGTAACTTTCAAATTTCAATATTTATTGAACATCATAGTTTTAATAGAATTCATATTATCAGAATTCATGTCTCTTGTCCCTGCTCTCATACTTTTATAAATAAAAATATGTCTATATATTTTTAGATATTTCAACATAAAATAAACTCTTTTCATTTACAAACAAAAAATATAAACAAATTGGGAGAGACTGTCGTCTCGTTGTCTTGGACGAAAATAGAAAAAATTAAGATAGAGATCAGTAATTATAGATTAGTCAGGGCCCTTGCGCCGCTTTCTTTTGCTGAGGCGCTCCCTAATCCTGTCCTTGCAGTTGGCATGCAGGATGATCAAATCGTCTACGGTGGTCATGCAGAGCCTCTTCCGCCTCTTGTTTAGAATCCACCCTGCTTCACTAAAAGTACGTTCGGTCTCGGCACTTGAGGCCGGGATGGACAGGTATTGCCGGGCAAGCATTGCCAAAAGGGGAAATCGATCAGCCTGAATTAAAAAAAAAAAAAAAATACCTTTTTTGAAATGATCCGCACGATTGTTTTTCGTTACGTTTGGCAAAACTTACTCTACGCACTCACCTCGTTAACTGCTTTGTGCGATCGAAATCCACTCCAAGGGGCTCGTCGAGATACGCCCTCACTTCGTCCTCGACCGGGCCCGAACCCTGTTGTGGCGGCCCGGCGGGTGCGCCCAGGACCACGGGGATGTCCGGGTCCGGGAGATCCTTTGAAATTACAAAAGAGAAACTGGTAAAGTAGAACCCAAGCCTCACATTAGCCAATTAGGCACACTGACATCGGTGCACATGCTCAGTTACGCATTGTTTCAGACGCCAGTATGAAGAAATTTGTTCAAACGGGCGTATTAAAAAATGCGTAAGCGGAGTATGTTAACAGACCAGCAAGCTATGCATAAAAATGTTCAGATGTGTGTAGTGGGTGTCCAGGCTAAGACATGAGTGCTTTGGGTTGCCTATGCACTGGTTACAGGGGCTGCGGGCGCGAGGCGCTGGCGGGGGAGTGGTGGTGGATCTGCCACCCAACCACCACCACCACCTGGCCCGCGTCCGCAGCCCCTGCAGCCAATGCATAGGCTACCCAAAGCACTGTCATGTCTTAGCCTGGACACCCAGAATATTCCCTTACCGTCGCTGTCGTCGTCGTTGATGACGACGACGGGAGGCTGCAACCACCCCCTGTGTTCCTGGGAGCCGCTGCTGCCGGTTGACGTGCCAGCGGTTGACGTGCCAGCGGTTGACGTGCCAGCGGTTGACGTGCCAGCGGTTGACGTGCCAGCGGTTGACGTGCCAGCGGTAGCGTGGAAGTGCCCAGGCGCGGAGGCCATCGCCTGGCCGACGGCGCTTGTGACAGCCTCCCACGTCTGGGGACTCATCGCTCCTACCGCCTCTGCCGTTAAAATTCCTGAAATCATATGAAATTTGTTGCGTATTTACCGGGTGCCAAGGCTAAGACATGAGCACGTTGGTTTGCCTAAGCACTGGCTGTAGGGGCCGCATGCGAGGGGTGGGTGGTGAGGGAGTAGCAGCGCCCCCACCACTTCCCCTCTAGGACCCCGCGTCGGCAGCCAGTTCATAGGCAACCCAAAGTACTGTAATATCATAGCCTGGACACCTGGTCCAAAGATGTTTAACTGAAAATCCGAAAAGCCGACAGTATTCAATGTGGTCTAAAAAGGCTTCACGTGCGCATACCGGGCCTCAAATTAGAATTCGTTTTGCAAAGAACATGTTCTTAGTGATACGAGAAATTTCGTAACTCCATGAAGGCACTAGGGTATTAATGAACTCCTTTCGGGACCACGATAGTCAGCATATTATCCAACACACACTACATCCTTATGCATTCTGTAGTGCATAAAACTTCATACATAAAATTTCATACAGCCTTATTATGCACAATTTTATGCCTAAATATGTACAGTGTGCATTATGCACATTTTGTACACAATTACGCATAAAAAATTGTGCATACTTCTGGCTGTACAAAAGTACTTAGTTCATGGAAGTGGGGAGTGTCAGTTTACGGCGATAAGCGGAACTGGAGGCCGCCATCCATCCATGAAACCCCAGTCCTCTTCCCCTTCCGTCTCTCACCGCCGGTCACCTTGCCAGGGCCCAGCCATAGGCTCGTATTTGGCATACAACTGCCATTCAAATTTCGTCAGTCTTAGAAAAACAGGGAGCATGAAGTGAAATAAATATTTACCGAACTGGGACTTAAATTCAACGACTCGTTTACGGTTAGCGGGAGGGGACAATTAAGGGATAAGCCGGACCCGACAACCGTCCACCGAAGCTGAGTAGTCGTCCCCCCCCCCTCCCATACACTGAAAAATAATCGTAAGCTTACAGGAAAATTTTCCATGATATGAGTCCGTAAAATTAGAACTTAAAATTGTAAAAGTACAATCACTTTCTATCGACTTGGAATTGATCGAGGAGCGAAAATGGGCCGTCGCAAATTTACATTATTTTGTAATTCCAAATTACAAGAAATGTCGTAACTTTACGAGGACATTTTTCACAGTATCACTCCTGCGCCGCGTCGAGACGCACAGTGCAAAACGCACGACTTGAGGCTTCGCTTTTTGCGCTTTACCGCACGCAAAGCCTGTGCGTGCGGCGCGACAGCTGTGCACTCTCGGCCAGACCAGTACTAGCTGGAACGCAGGGGATGGGCCGACCGATGCCTGACTGACCCAAGTTATGGGTGGCTTCGCACTTAAATATGAACAAGCAGTCGCTATAACCCCGCTATAACCCTTTTTCAAGTTGAAGCACGCGAAGCCGAACAAACACCTTACAACCCGAGCGCTGTGCATGAACGGTCATCACGTCGGTAACGAACTGGAAACAAATAAGCGAAACGGAAATGCGAATTAGGAGATGGGAGGGAAGACCGAGCGCCGAGCGGGGCGGGGCGGGGGCGGGTGCGGCGTGTGAGTTGAGTGTGGGCGGGGACTACTTTTAGATTGAATCCCGGTCTCGAAGCCGTCTGCTATCGTTGCCATGACACTTGTCACGAATCAATCCGCCAACCGAGCTTTTGTTACTGCACCGGGACAGAGCTGGCCGTCAGTCTGTTCTAGTGGCGAGTGCTAACTAGTTAGCTTGTGTGTGTGGTATTTCGTCGAGTGTCATGTCAGCAAAGCAGACGCCCCGTAAACGTGCCGGACAGCGTGGTGCGAGTGCTACTCCCGCCGACCCCGGTTCTGCACCATCCCCATCCGCCTCCAACGCCAACGACGCCGAGGCCCTGCACGAGCAGGGGGGCCCAGTCCTCAGCAAGCGCGCGCGCGTCATGCAGAGGCTGGCCGAGATTGAGAAAAAGTAAGGGACAAGACGTACATCCTGGTGAAGAAGTGGCAGAGTGAGGAGGGGGAGGGGGAGGGGGAGGAGGAGGAAGAGGTGGCGGCTGACGGTTCGTTTAATATGTGGGATCACCTAAAGTAGGTCAAGGACCCAAATGCAAGGGCGCTTGTGGGAGCCGTGCAATGCGTGATGTGCGAGAAGTTTTTGTCGTATAGCAGCCAAAAAAAACTGGAAACAGCTCGCTAGTAAACCATGTCAAGTTTGCGTGCCCGGTTGTAAAATAGGGTAAGTCGTATATCGCTTATTTTCGATTCTTGGGTTGTAATAGTGTTTTCCAGGCGCCATTTTGGATGAAAACTCCTGGAAACATGTTTTAAGTTTTTTCCTTTAACGTTTTCATAACCCTACCTTGCCTGTTATTCTGGCCTGCCATAAGAGGTGGTTTTGAAAACTTCAATTTTGGGCTTATTTTTTCCTTGACTAAACATGCAATTTTACGGCCCCCTGGGTGAAAATTTTAAGGAGAAGGCTCTATCTCAGCCGGTTTTCGAGCTACGAATTATTATTGGAAGGGAAAAGGTTGCTTATTTACCGCAATATAAAAACAATTCATATCATGCAAACCGGCAGAGATAGATAACTATATTCTCCCCACTTTCAAGTCATTGCCACCAGGTGCCAAAACCTCGTTCGTAGATAAATTGGCGGACATGAGCGCGTACACGCTCAGTTCTATGAATCACTTGACAAGTGATAGTTTTGTAGAGGTGCTGCAGCAAGCCATTGATATCACTGTTCTGGCTGGGGGGCGGATCGACGCACGTGACCTGGTCCCCGGTGTCAACACTTTGTCCGCTCATTTGGAAAAGAATGCAAATCTAGCGCGGGAAGTTGTCGTGAAGAGAGTGAAGGAGGCCATCGAGGGTGACCGCTGCCGCTGTTCCACAGACATGTGGACAGACGACTTCAACAAGTATAATTTCATTGACGTGCATGCCTATTTCAACAACGCACAGTGCACTGGCCAGGAAACGCATTATTTAGTCATGGCAAAATTTCCTGTAGAGCAAGAAAAAAGTGCAAAAAATATCAGAAATGCTATTTTTAAAGAATTGGTTGAGCTAGGCTTTACCGCAAGTCAATTCAATAAAATTGTGTGGATAACTGACCGGGGTGCGAATATCAAAAAAGCCCTTGAAGACTGCCCCCGCGAAGACTGCACCGCCCACCTTCTCAACACAGTCGTGCAGGGAACTCTAAGTTACACCTTTCTAGAGCTGCGGAAAAAGGCGTTGACAGCTAGCGACAGAGCTATGCAAATTTGTAAAGATTTTGAGGCTGTAGCACGGGCAATCAAGAAAACTGAGGTCAACATAGGGAAACTGAGAGAAACTATCGTCATGCCAACACCACACCTGTTTTCTTATGCGCCTATGCTCGCGTCCATAGTTGCTCACCAGCGCAAGGTAAGTTCACCGCACACCGCGTCAACTTTCCGCTTTCCGCCCAAAATATGACACTAATTTAATTTTTGTAATATTAGGTTGCTGCTGTTCTGGAAGCAATCAATGGCCCTGCTCTGACTCATGACATCGAGCTTGTACAGGAACTCGTGGACTTCCTTACGCCCCTCGAGGGCACAGGGCACGTTCCGAGTTCCTCATACGCAAAGCTGCGCGCCCATCTGCACCCAGAACCGAATGGCAATGAGCCCGCTTTCGTCACGGAAATGCAGGTTGCGCTAGAAGATAACGTTTCAGTGTTGGGAATACTACATCAGGTCAGTCAACGTCAACGGTTTGCAGTAGTTATTTCGACTTTACAAAATGTAATAATTAATTGTCGTTAAACTCTTTTACATAGGTGCACTTAGCTAAAGGACTTGTGACCTACTTAAAGACTAGTGGATTGTCCCAGACCCTTGACAGACGAGTGTCCCAAGAAGTAGAGACGAGGTGGAACTCGGTGAGCATCATGCTGAAGTCCCTGATCAACCAGTATGACCAGGTAGGTGAGCGTGAGCTCGATTCGCAGTGCCACCCAAGCCCCGTCACCGTCCCCGCGCCCCGCCCCGCGCCTCGCCCTGCGCCCCGCGCCCTGCTTCGTACTTTCGTTAAGAGTAATAGTTGTCTAAATGTTTTTGGAGTTATTGAAGGTGAACTTATAACACAAA